AAAAAAAAATAATAATAATAATAATAATAATATTAATAATAATGGATAAGAGACGATAAATATACGAAGAGACCGAGCGAACAGCATTTTGCTGACTAGAGAAAAACTAACACAGAAATTGTTGTTGTTGATGTTGTTGTCAAAAAAATGTGTCAAATTAAAATATAAGGATTTCAAACATCTTATGTTTGGATGATCGCAGATTAACCCTTTCCAAATGAAATTTGATGAACAACAATTAGTAAGATGCGCTTTTTAAAATGTAGTTTTTATTTATAAAGTAATTACTTCTTTTTCTTTTTCATCTACGGTTCATCTAAATATTTTGTATTTTACATTACTTACACGATATTCGAATCGAGTTAACGCAAACAAAAAATCTATGTATCAATGATGAATTTGGAGCCTCTTAGGTTCAAGATTCTCCATTCGTTAGTATCTAATTATATATAGCGATGCGTTTGATTAAAAATAAACGGTGCTAGGAATTTTCTATGCTCACAAACAGTATAAATTTGAACGAAATTAAAAAGACAATGAAAAACTACAACGATTTCTATGCTGCGCACACGTGTGTATGTAGGTCCAAGCAAGGCACCGTAATGTACATTGGCAGGAATTCAATAATAATATCTAACATTCATCCTCAACTGAAATTCCTACAATGAAATGGTGGAAATGATATAAAAAATGGTCATAATTAAGAATGAATAAGTTACAAAGAAATTCATCTTAAGAAGAGTTAATATTATTTCATGACTTGTGCTGCTTTTTTCGCTTTGACGAGTTCCACGAGTTCCTATGGAAAGAAACAAAGAAACAAAAAAACAAAAATACAACAGATTGTTCATTAAACGTGACTAAAGTTAATTCAAAGTAATAAATTAAGAAAGAAATATACCTTATACCTCCTCATACATTCTTTTTTCGTTCTAGTTGGTATGCATCCTGCTATTTGATCCCACCTGTCGGGAACCGTTGTGGGATAAGTTTTTAATGCTTGCTCAAGAAGTTTCTGTTCAACAGGGGTCCAAGCTTGAGACTCCTTCTTGACATCTTTAGCGTCGCTAGATATTCCATTGGAAAGAGGATGATCCAAACGTTCAGTTACAGCTGGCATTCTTTCTTCGATTCCTTCTTTGGTTTTTTTCTCTGCGATAAAATTATCATAAGCATTTTTATTAGCTCTTTCCTTAAGACTCGACTTGCTAAAATCGGTAGATTGTAAATCTTTAGCTTTTGCCAAAACTTCTTTGGCGTCCCGCGTTATACTGCTTGATGAGGTACTGTGTTGATTAATAAAATTGGCTACCACTTCCCAACGTTGATTTGTACCAGCAGGAAATAAATTGACAGCCTTTATTAAAAGTTGCAAATCATTTTCATTCCACGGAGCGGTATGAGCTTTCACCTGTTTTTCTGGTGTATTTCTTGTATCATTATTTATTATAGCAGCTCTACGTTCCGCTTCTATTTTTTGTTCTGTTTCTTTTACCAGATGGAGGAATGCGTTTCTACCATCACTTTGTAGCTTCTTCATAGCTTCTTCTAATTGAATTAGTTTAAACAATTCGCATATTTTTTCTACACTTTCCATATGCTTAAGACTTTCGGCTGAACTTTCAGCAAAGTAATTATTAGATTTACAAAAGTCGCGCAACGCTTTTCTTTCCTTTCTAAGTGCTTTTTTCTGTGCCTCCCTCTCTTGTTTCAACGCATCCATTTTTGCACGTTCCTCAGATTCACGTTTTTCTCTCTCTAATCTTTCTTTCTCTGCAGCATCTCTAGCTATTCTCTCTTCTTCCAGTTGTCGAGCTTTTGCAGCTTCTTGCTTTGCCTTCTTTGCAGCTGTTTTTTTATTTTTGTCATCCTGTTGAAATTTCTTTATTCTTGGATCTACGTTATAAGCCATATCAACTAGCGAACGTATTCTTGCCATTTCTTCCTTCTTTCGTTTTGCTCTCGTTGCTTTATTCTTTTTCTCGATCCATTTGCGCATATCTCGGCTAAAATGCCATTTATTATAGTATATGTTAAGAAAAAAGATAAGAAACAAAAATTTAGTTTTACTTACTCTTGTCCACTTTCTTTATCTTCTTCGTCGAGATACGAGTACTCCCGCCAAGAATCAAAGTCGTACCAAAAAGAATAAAATTTTTCTACTTTATCTCTAGGTGTGTTTGGTCCACCTAAAAGTGGAACTGGTTTTTTGGTAGACCATCTAGCATTATCTTTGAATGCTTTTCCCATGATTTCATAAAAATTATTTTTACATTCCTTCTCGTCTGGCAAATCATCATTAAAATAAGGATCTATGCTGTCGTAACTTCTTCTTTTAACAGTCGTTCCAAGAGTCTCCCATGCACGAGTAATGCAAGTAAAGTAGTCATCATCTGGTCGTATTTCCTCTCCCAATGCCTTACGCTTATCCGGATGATGTTTCAATATCTTCTGTTTATCTGTAATTCACATATTAAATATGGATATAATATAAATCATTAACTATTATGCATATTAGGTATCTGCAAACGACATAACACCTACGTTCATGTATAGAGTATACTTTGAACTGTCTTTACGTACAAGCCCTTTTAATAATATCTTCTGTAGCCCTGTGCCTAAGTTTTCTTATGCCTAACACTGCGTAATGGTCTTGATCTTTCCATTCCTTTGGATCCAACGATCTTAAATATTCGAGGTCATCTTCGAATTCATATTGAGACAGATCTTCTTCTTCTTCATCTGATGATTCTGAGACACTGTATGGTGCAAAGCAGCGAAGAAACTGGGCTTTCCAAGCTTGAGCCGTAGAATATAAAACCACTGGTCCTGCCGTGGATACTGTTACATTCTCACATGGTTCTGTATAGTAACAAATTTTACAATATAATTAACAAAAATTCTATACGGTTAACAAAGCACATATAACAAACTTTGGTCGGTTTCAATTAAACTTATTGAATTAACATTTATTTCAATTATTCCTAACAATAAATTAATTCTATTAAACAATTGATTAAACAATAATACAATTATTACATAAAAGAAAAAAGGATTTCCTATGTTAAGACTTTTCTAACTAAACCTAACCTCTCCAGCCCGGTGTTGAAGAAAAGATGAGGGAAAATACAATAACTCACCTAATTTAGAATTAAATGCATTAGAGTCATCATTCGCCGTTCCATCCGTCATTATTAATTAATTACAGGATATCACGAAAAATGTAATATTAAAACGACTTTCTGAAGAAAGGATGATACGACCGGAATTTTCAGGCTATGGACATATCGATAGAACGAGCGGTCGAATCTCGATTATGCGAGATCCAGTGCTACCAATCGTTCTTAACCTATTGAAAAATATCGATAAAATTATTATTTATACTTATACATTTCTTATTGTATAAATGTTTCTTTTTTATTATAATAATGATTCTAATTTAAATTGATTAAATAACTGTATTTAGATTTTAACATTTATTAGATGTTTTATACAACAAAATATATATATATATATATTTATAAGACAACAGACACACAAGTATTTTTATTTTTATTTCATCTTTTGTACATGTAAAAATAATGAAAAGGTTATTTTTGTTCTTTTTTTATTATTGTTTTCATATCATTTTATTTAGAATATAAAGATCTGTTATAGATATTGGCATTTCATCCAATAAGTTCATTCGGACGGACATACGTATTAAAATAAAACGCGAATTGATTTCTTTAATGAATTCATGTTCTGTTATACTGGGAAGACAGGAAAATTATTGGAACATATTTAAAACATGTTTCAACGTCCACGATATTAACAGCAAAGTAAAAGACATATAATAATATTTTGAATTTGATACTACTAAAACTTAACGACACATTTGTGCAAATTACCTAAAAACTATATATATATGCTAAAAATGATTATCACGAGGAATAAGTTAAAAGCACGAACATTCTAACGTCGAATGATTGAACGAGATTAATAGTAATCAAAATAATAATAATAATAATAATAATAATAATAATAATAATAATAATAATAATAATAATAATAATAATAATAATAATAATAAGGAGNAATCAAAATAATAATAATAATAATAATAATAATAATAATAATAATAATAATAATAATAATAATAATAATAATAATAATAATAATAAGGAGCTTCGGCATTGGGAATAAAATGAAATTATTTAACAAGAATAATATCAGTTCGATTAGAAGAACACGCGTGAATTTTCACTGATGTCCAGGAGACGATAAACGTCTTTGTGTTTGAAATGGATTTTGCAATAAACGTGGTGAACACTCGATGACTCGTAACAACAAAGAATCAATGTAATCTTCCAAATCGACCATACGTTTCTTTTTGTCTGCTATTTCTGCTTGAAGTTGTAACGTCAGTTCTATCAAATCCTAGACAAACACAAACAAATTATTAGTAATACGATAATAGCAAGATTAAGAAAAATAATAATAATCATAAACATTCGTTGAAAATATATTTGTACTTCTCTAGATTTTCCGTCAAATTGGGAAATAACTTCATGGGGTAGTCGATGTTTCGATACTTGTTCACCCTTAAACGCGTCTTCCCCACCTATTATGATCCTTTCCGAGGATGAAGGATGATTCTCCTCGTTCATTTCTTTGGTTTTATTCTCCTTTTCCTTTTTTTTATCTTTCTTTGATATTTTCTCTTCCCTTGGACTCCGCGTAAGGAACTTTTCCTCTCTCTTATCCTTCAATTTATCTTCCTTGGAAAATTTATCTTTGATTAAAGAAGGCTTTTCCTCTTTGTTGTTCTTAATTTGAATTATTTCTCGCGGAGCTGGACTCGGAGGTTCTGGAGTATCTCTAAATCTGGATGTTGGTGATGGCGAGGGTGCTGGCGATCGATCCGATCGTTCGTCCTTTGCCTCATCTATCAAAATCTTTGGATTACTCAGCTTGTTATTTTCCCATCTGTAACGGGGAAAGAAAATGAAGTGTTAAATTTACGAGTATAGAAAATAAAATATATGAAAAATGATCTAACCTCTTGGAAGCACTAGGTTGCTTCCCGTAAAGTTTCAGACCCCATTCGTCTTTTTGATCATCGATTTTGGACAGAGACGTGGTCGAGAAACTTGTGGCAAAACGTGGTGGCTTATTGGGTGCCACGTTAATCATCATCGGTGCCGTTTGCTGTATTTCTTGACCGACATTATTTCGACCAGAGGAACCAGCGGATTCGACCGAGGTCACGCTATTGCTTTTCTTCGCACCATTTACACTAGCGACCGGTGCATTCAACGATGAGGCCGAACTCTTGTGAGACAGATCGTCGAACTGAAAGAAATCCTACGATAAGTATTATGACCAAAATTTCAATCCTAATCCCAGTTATTTCATTTAATTGTAAGCTTACCGTAAATTCATCCTCGTCCTCACTGATGACACCAGGATCGGCTTCTCCGGGTTCTTGTCTAGTCCTTCGAAATCCATGATCTTCTTCTCTCTCATCCAAATTCTCTTTATCTAATCTATTTTTGCTCTTTCCTTTAACTCGATTACCTATAGACTTGGCCAACTTCTTTAATCCCTTACGTTTCTCGATACTACCTATACTCAACAAACTTCCTCCAATTGACTGAGCCGCAGTCGACAATTGCCCTAGAGAACTTTTGTGTCTTTCCTTTCTCGTAAGATCAGTTAAACTACCAGCCTTCACTATAAAACCAATTCTTACTTCAAGCTCGCCTCTGTCTTTTGTATTTTCTTTTCCTGGCTTACTGCACAACGTATACCTAACAAAAAAAAGAAAAAAAATGTATAATGCTTATCTATGAAATCTAAGAGACGAGAGAAAGTAAAATTATATGTATATAAGTTGAACTCAAGATTTTTTCCCTTTTTTTTATATATCGAGTTTGTGCATCACATTATGTGCATCACGTATGCATAAGCCGCGCACGTACATACTACGTTGGCTTCTGTCCAACATATAGTCGTGGTATCTACTTTACAGCTCGTCTCTTAACTCTTATTGTGTGCTCAATTTTAATATTAGATCTAATCTTACATATGTGCATCTATATGCACGCGTATATGCCGAGAATCCTAGATGAATTGCATAGGCCCGATCTTTTTCAACTCGTGCGAAAATATATGCAGCAAATAGTTGGTGAAAGCAAGACCGTAGTATCTTCGTAAAAAATCAATCCATCTTCGATATAGAGTTTTCACTTTATTACGTACCATCTATTCTTGGGTCTCTCATAAACATCGAAACTCGACAAGGGAATGCTAATCGTGCCGAGAAATTCATCTACGCCAAGGAAGTTACGGTGCAATGCCGTGAGGACGATTTCCGCGGTGTTTCCGTGTTCTGGTATGGCTAATTCGCATTCCTCATGCCATTCCACGTCCTTGGAAGCCTTCTCTTTCACCGACGTCTGGTACTTTTCCTTGCCGAGGGCAATCGTCACGAAGCAATCGTTGGTCTCTGAATCAAGATAGGTTAAACGTTTGTTACGTGGGTGGACGGGGAATTGACCGGTTAATTAATGAAAACCAAGTAGATTCTACATTATTTTTTGTGGAGTCTACCATCGTAAAACAACTCGAGGAACCTCGATTTCTCGTGAAATAGCACGTATTACGTCCTACCGTTATGCATTCTAAAGTATTCTTACCTCTGTTGCAATATTATATTTACTTTGAAACGGTGCAGAAAACTGAACGCGCGTGCTTACCTAAGCTATTCATAAATGTAAACGATAAATATTTAGCCCAAAAAATCTGGACATATTATTAGGTCAGTGATGCCGTAATCAAGTTCAAGAAATGATAATTAGTCATCAAAACGCTAACGCGTAACTAATTGTTTGCTACGAAATTTGATAACGCTGACGCATTATTTGTCTGATAAAATCGGTAATATAGTCAGAAAGTATTAAACATAAAGAGATTATTTTGAAAAGTAAACATATTTGAAGTGTTTTTTATACTCACTGTTTTTTCCTTTGGTCAATAGTCCTTTCGCTTTTTGAACTGTAAACAAAATGAAAATTATTCTCGTTAGTATTTTTTGCCTACTATATTTGAAACTTTTTACGATCTAGCATGACTTTCATCGGTTGCATACCAGTTCGTTCTATAACTTTCTGAAAAGAATCGCGTTCACTCTTATCGGCAAGTTAAAACGAGAAAATGTTAGCTATCGGTTACCGCCCCAATTAAGTATACAAATACGCCCCTGTTAATTTATCTAGGTCTGTGGCGAAAAGACGAATCCGTTAATAAGTTTATGAATAATTCTCACGATTTTCTCCTAGGATTAAATATGATTAAAAATGAAAAAAAAAAAAAAAGAAGTAGACTATAATTTTTTTCCCATAACATTCTTTCACGATTCAATTCCAAGTCAATGGGTCAAAGTCCATAAAAAAGACTTAACCGTGTACCATCGGTCAAATGTCGTTCAGGTTGGAAGCGTGCATTTTTTAACGCTTCGTGCGTCCAGGGACGTAACAACGAAATTCTATCCTATATTTTTCACAAAGACATTACTTCCAATTCAATTTTGAACGTTGGAAATGAAGGAAAAAAACAAATGGAATTATTTGTTAATTTACGTTAAACGCGCGACCGATGAAATCGAGTGGAAAGTTCCAAGTTTCTAACCTATAAATATTTAAATAGCTAATTGAAAAAGAAAGAAGGAGTTGTTGCAGCTGACTACGTTACTGATCGAAGGGAGTTAGCGGTCCGTATATACGAGCGAAAAAGGGGAGCAACATCAGGTCGCGTTATACGAGCTTTCACACGACTATTTTCTATATAGAAGGATATAAAGGCATTGAGAAAACGGCGAAACCGTGCGGCCATCTTGAAATGAAGAGATCACCGTATTATACCTGTGTATAGACGTGTGCACACACTTAAATAACGTATATGGCTGCGATAATTGACTCTCGTCATATATTCCTCGCGTTAAAGTTCTCTTCTACAGCTGGTAAAAACCTCTCTACAGCCTTGTGCATCTCAAGCGTGAAACCGTTACTTCGAACTCGTAGCGAAACACTTTATACCAAAGCATAGATAATATTATAAACATTTGCTTAGCCATTTTGCGATATTCCTTCTTGAGAATGTTTATTCATTTATTTTTTTCTACAAATTCTTCTACACGCGATGCCTTTTAAATGATAGTAATATTACAACGTTTTCATATATTTATTTTAATCGTATAACGTAAACAACACTATCAACAACGATAACACGACGTTAAATATAGTCGCATATAAAGTTTCCAAAAAAAAGAATGACGGTATTACATTTGTACGTTTAGTTTCGTGTCGTCCTTCAAACTAGATTAGGCGCGCATTTTCGAATGACAAGCGCGGGAGAAGGTGCGCCGTCGTTCTTTTATTTATTTCTCTTATAAGAAAAAAAAATTAGAAAAAGAAACGTTATAAATAGGAGAATAGTATAACCGTCATAATATCGAAAGAAGAATTAGTGCAAAGCAACGAGATAATAGCTTTCTAAACACATTCCACTAGCAACGTGGTAATACTTAAGAGGTTTCGTTCGCCTACATTTCGACGAGGACAAAACACGTAACTCGGCTTACGCGTTCTATTTTAATCGACTTTAAACTCATATCTCATTTTCATGACTTCTCTTTATTTCTCTTATTTAAGAATGTAATCTATCTCTCTTGCTTCAAGCCACCTGTCGAGTCATAAGCGTTTAATTCAAACTTTATGACGTATCATTCGTGACTCTTACCTGTCACCTGTACGTGAGTAGGACTCCACATTTTCGGTCTAATCACTTGAGATCTGTCGCGTTGAATATATACGTGTTAAGTTTCTAATCTGTTCTAATTTCCAAAAAATACGCACAACGCGCGTTCTTACGTGTCTATTAAAAGGCATTCTACGAGACGCTCCTTTTGTACACCCATGCGAAAATGGGTTTGCGGTAAAAGCACGTTTAAAAGTATAAAAGATGCTCACCGTACCGTACAGTGGCATCGACTACGACCAACTACGACTATACTCTTATGATACACCTTCCAACAACCGCTACGTCTACTTTCTCTCTTTCTCTCTCTGTCATTTATTATTTCTCTTTTTTCTTCTCTCTCTCTCTCTCTTTCTCTTTCAGCAATCTGTCAGCGTGCTAGTCCGTGCGCATCCTCCTCGCGCAGACCACACTGCTGTCATCCCAGGAACGGCACGAGATTAAGTCGGGCCCGGTCACCGCTTATGAATTCGAATCTATCTCTCGTCGATTTTTAGTTTAATTAGTGGCATCATCGATGCGTACAAACGTGAAAGTAAATTGAAGAAAATATGATCTCCTTCTTTTCTTTCGTCGTTACAATGAAAGCGTGTGTTTTCGTATACATAGAATATTTGTATATGCAAAATGAGTAAACAGTCTGCTAGTTAGTCATTACTTGAATCGCCGATAAAATACGAATATGCATTTATGATCTTGTCAATGAAATAACTCGTGTGAAATTCTTATAAAATTGTTCTCTCTCTTTAAAGATGACTAACTAAGAATACTCATTAATTTCTTAATGCTTATTTACATAGGAGATGGCCTTCCACAGTTCTATTGTTTGAAAGGAAACGTTTTAATAAATGGCTCTAACAATTATGAAAAAAAAAATAATAATGCCCGAAGTAATCAACGTTTATATTCTTTTATTAATGGTAACATCGATGCTAGCATCAAAATATCGAAAAGAAACGGAAACAACAAGTTGAAGTAGTTATAATTGCCGTGCATGGTTATCCTTGTTATTTCGTAATAATTTCTCGTGACTGGTACACGAGTCGCCGTTTTATTCATGAACCATTTAAATGATCTAAAATGCGTAATATGAAATATTAGCAAAACGTTGCAAAAAAAGAAATAAGAAAAAGAATAAAGAAGGTAATTCGATTGTAATCTATGTACGTAAAATATTCTCCGTTGGCTTTAAGTAGTATTTTCTACAAGAATGCTTTTAACAATATTTCGAAAATATTTTCCTTTTATTAATAAGCGTCATCTGGAAACTGGAGCGATTCGTCATAATTCTCTTATCATTTTCCTTGTCGTATTTTCGAAAAATACACGCACACGTTTAACAGCATCCGATGCTTCGTTCGTGTACTTACGTCACATTCCCACACACACGCGTTGCATCCATTATTATCACGATGTGTCGAGTTAAAGTAAATCCACGCCTTGCTATTTAATTAATTTGTCGACTTAAACATACTTTTAATGAGGTTATCGCTCGTCTATCGTGTATTCGTATAATTCGTGCATTCGTTTCAATGTTTGATTATTTCTTTCTTCAAGGTTAATAGTTTATTTTCTGTTTCATAATTATTTTCATTTATGAAGCTTATCGTTGTACCGATAAGCTGTAACGTACATGGTAATATAATTGTTACCGGTAATTAAAATTTCCCCGTATGTTTGATCGTTCTTTTGTAGAATATTATACATGCACACACGAGTGCGTGGAAAAATGTCGAAAGTCACGTCTCTTTGGCTGCATTACCAAGAATTGCATGCGCGAAGAATGTAAAATTTTAGGAACGATGTGGTTAGCGGAATAGTCAAGAATATCTAATTTCTTGCATTATTTTCACCGATGAAATTTTCTTTGCTCCAAGATGGCATGTTTCCGACGAAACTCTAGCATATATTTTTCTTTTTTTATTATTTCCACGAGACTATATCAGTGGTAGTTGCGAGCGAAGATTAAAGGTCGCTTCTCTTACCTGAAAGTCGTCATTTATAGGCCCGGAAAGGTATGGCAACATGTTGCGTGATTCCGTGTATACACGTGTTAACAAAGCCATGATTCATCAAACTCTACAGAGAGTGGCAACAGGTGTTCGTGTTCCTCTTTTAATTCCTTTAGCATAAATAATATGCCTAAATAATATAGCATCATATCTTCGAAGAAATATAATGTGTACTAATGTAAATATGCTGATTATAAGAAGGTTCATTAGATATGAATAATTTTCATGGCAATTCACGCGAACGAAGCAGATTTAACGAGCGTCATAATTTATCATTAGTCTCATTGTCAGATAAAAGACAATTTTTAATTTCTTGGTCATATTTTTTTTGATTCGAGCACGTTTGATATATGTAGCGTTTAAGCCGTGTTTTCATTATTCTTTCAGGTAAGAAGAAATTCGTAAAGCTTTGTACACCTGTCGCACGAGGGCAGTACATTCGGTAAAGACGAAAATGCCATCTGTATCTAAATTCAATTTTTCCCTCTCCCTTTCTTTCGTTCTCGTCGTTAATTCATTTAATTAAATATTTGTTTCATTTAACGAACGTAAAGATTTATAAAAAGATATAACAAAATGAATTTATATTGGTTATAAAAAAAGTAATAATAATAAGAGAAGGTTGCATATTGCGCCGTCGCATTGCGCGACAAACACACTCGTACTCTTTTCCTTGTCTTTTTCTTTTTCGATTGTAGTCCCCTCTCCTCGAACTAAGAGAGGCCCCAGTAGAGTGGCAGGATGACGGGATTGGTCCCTGAGATCCCGCGTACGCGCGAATCGACCTTTAGTTCGTTCGCCGCCGATCTCGTGTATGGTCACCGTACCTGTTGGTTATTCGATCGAGTGCTCGTGCCGGTTAACAAATAGTCTCCGATTCCAGTCGTATTCGAAGACACATTGTCACGCGGTTTTCCCTACGTGCCCCACCGCGTAGAAGAGGTGGAGGAGGAATCTAGAAGGAAAACAGGAAAATTCAGGAGAAAGGAAAACTTAATTCCTTTATTGAGAATTAAAAAGTAAGTCGCGTAGATCGCGAGTGTCTGGTTGTTTCATCCCTTCTGCGGTGTCGAATTAGAAAAGTCAAAAAGTGCGAGTCTGGAGATGTCGTCCCTGAAGGGCGATAAGACACCGTACGCTCGTCTTTGCCACATCGTCAAGTGGGATGACTTTGACGGCTACGGGTTCAATCTTCACGCAGAAAAAGGGAAGAATGGCCAATATATCGGTAAGGTGGACGAGGGTTCCCCTAGCCAAGCTGCTGGCTTGAAGCAAGGGGATCGAATCATCGAGGTAAATGAGATTAACATAGCCAACGAGACTCACAAGCAGGTGGTAGAACGCATCAAGGCGTTCCCAAACGAGACCAAGCTCCTGGTGCTCGATCAAGAGGCTGACGAGTACTTCAGGGCTAACAACGTCATCGTCAAGGGCACCATGGCGAACGTCAAGGTGATCAAGACGCCGGAGAAGAATCCCAACAGCGTGGATAACGAGGAGGGATCGGAGGTGAGTCTTTCTCCTTTTCTCCCCACCCCTCTCTTGTTCTTTTCTTTCGTGGTTCAAGCCTCTGACATTATAAATTGCTCCCACTAATTATTTATTAATGGATAAAGGAATGTCGTTTATTGGAGGTGGTCGTAGGCGATGCATGCAACGTGTGGGAGAACTTTTTCTTTTTTTTTTTTTATTATAATTTATCTCTTCCATCGCGATTCACGTGAGTAGTTCGCTCGATGCATCATCGTTAACGTAAAAAGAAATAAAAATATCTATTATCCGACCTTCTATCGAGACGTAAGGGGAATCTAGAGATCATAGTTGTCTTTCAGAGGCATTTTATATATACTTAAGAAAAGAATATTTCCAAAGAATTTTAGAATCATTCATTATATTTTCCTCTTTTTCCGCTTTGGCAGAATTCGACGAATTTCGATGCACGCGAGCAACGATTGCTTATTTTTGCATCAAATTGTAGGTATATATTATATATTACGCGTTACGTTGTGCCGTTTATTCTCTCCGTTCCCCACCTAACGATTTTCAACGAGTAGATTTCACTTAAGAAACATAGTACAAGTGTTTCCAACATCTGTGTTTATATCGTCTCGAAGATAACAACTCGAGGAAACACTTTCATCGTTTGACAAAAAGCCTAAAATAAAGGAAAATAATAATATTCACCACAAATTTCACGTGATAATCATCATTAGAGATAGTTTATCGTTTATTGCCGTTTATTGTTAATGGTCTAAGTATGCAATTCATTGCAGTTTATAGATTAGAATAAAGCAAGAGTTACACGACATTCTTGATTAAAACTTTATATGAAATTTTGTTTTTTAAATAGATATTTTTTAAGTGGTTACATGTATCTACCTACTTGACTATTTTTGGTTTTTGGTACACGATGAAAAAAAAAAATATCTCGTTTGTTCTATCTCGTGACGAGGCAATCGAACTTTACGATAATTCATGTCCTCTCTGTTATCATCATTTTTATCGCGTATTAAACAACCAACGGAACTTTCTCCGAGTTAAAGTTCGCCCACGCAAAATTTCATTATCATTTCATCCTTTTGTCTGTAACTCCGAGTATATACTCTGGAGAGAAGGAGAAAAAAATCTTTATTTTATCTAATCTTTTTATCAACATGTTCTTTATCGATGAATCGATCTATTGTACTATTAAAACGAAAGAAGATAATCAAAACTTTACCGTCACTCACATTTGACTGATGTCTAATAGTCTAAATGTTATTGTTCTAAAGATAAATAACACCGAATAAAACACTTGTCCCCTGTCATATACACCCGTATGACCCTTAAATCTCATTAAATTTCGTTTGGTTTCATTCATTGTGTTTGTTCTGGAAAAAAAAGGAAATCTTTTTCGTTTCTAATTTCAACCTTATCGAGAAAGATTAGAAAGATCTTGGCTTGTGGTATTTTTTGTTGTTCGCAATCTTCAATACGAAATTTATCGCGCGAAATTGCGAGAGACTGTGATTCTCAGCCGATGCAACAATGCCACCCACCTACGTACATAAATACATAGATGGACAAATAGATAAATAGGTATACGTAACGAGAAAAAAAGTATTTATATAGGAATTATACTAATTACCGGATGTTCCTTTTTCAGAGGGATCGATTAATTTCCTTGGGATTTAGGATCGATCGGTTAGCCGAGATATACTCGTGTACAAAAAGGACGAGGAGAGTCTCTTCTTCTTCTTCGCGTTTCTAATTACGTAACATCGTGCTCGTTGGCTAATACACCGTCCTGAATTCTTCCTTTCGTTCGAACGAATTTGTATTACGCGTTCTTTCAAAGCGCGAGCCTATGGGTACTTTAAAATGCATATATATACACACACACACAAGTGTATATTATAAAGTTAGTATGTGTAGTGAGAAAACGAAAGGGAAACGATAACACTTTCTTTCTGACGTTAGGCGAATTTAATTGGTTATACTTATATCGCGTTATGCGTTCGACGAATTGTTAGAAATTCTCGCTAGCTAATAAATCGACAAAATATTTGTTAGGTATAGAAAAACAATTGAGTTTTCGTATCGTCTTTCATTTTTCGATTAGATGATCTCGTGTGATGATATATATACAGTCAGTAGTTCCTTTTCCGGTCTTTTGACGAGCTTACGTAAATTCGTATAAATATCTAACGAGTAATTCGATTTGATTGCAACTTACTTTACAAAGTGCAATTGCGTGATCTCTTTTCAAAAGTACTACTTTATTATTATATTATGCGTTGATGGATATTCGCATTAACGATAGTAATCTCGTCGACAAAAAGGTCATCAAAATCGTAGCTCGAAACTTTGGCCGTTGTAGATCTATTAAAATACGAAGAAAACGAGCGTGCCCGCATTTTCTCGACATCGAATACCCATATACGCATCAGGATAACGGGTATTCGAAAAAAAAAAAGAAAAAAAGAGAGAAAAAAGGAAACCAAGCGATTGCAGCAGCCTCTCCTTTCTCTCCCCGAAGAATAATTAAATGACTTTACCTACCTATCTACCTGTATGCATACGTGCGTGCGTGCGTGCACCAGTAAGCAGACGACAAATGACTCTCAGGGTAATTTCAAAGCAGTAACGTATCAGAGGATCGATTCGCGTTCGCGTTGTATTTTCTGGGTCGTGAATTCCTCTTTCGTTTAGCAGGTGAAACGTCTTGGTTGCTTATATACGTTAAATATTTCAAGGTAATACTTTTGAGAGAGAAAGAGACAGTGCTACATTGTAAATTATTCTGCAAATAAACGCTTCGGTCCTTCTCCTCTTATCGGCACCGGACCGTTCGCAGTTATGTAAATCGATTTACCTTGTTTTTATCTTTTTTTTTCAAATTTGTATGGTTTTTCCCTACTCTTCTATCTATTTCACGAATCGCGAGAAATCTTTTGCGCAAAGAGGAAATGGCAAAAGCGAACGCATTCTAATGCGATTTAACGAACCGTTTAGATACGTAACAAAGCGTATAATCGAATATCAAAGAACGTTTCATTTAGGTACACATGTTTATTCTAATTCCACCTCATTATTTCTTCCAAACAATCCGCGTTACAAAATAGGAGAATATCGTTTGGCAAATAGATGAAGAGATTTTGAAAATCATGCGGTGGTCTAACGTCGGCCAACGCGATAGCCGACTAACATTATTTTGAAGGGATTTAAACGGTTTGCGCTTGAGTAAAACCGGTTCTCAGTTGCTCATAGGTCTAACCAATGGAATTCCTTTAAGTACCGTTCAGAATTGCATCAGGCTCCAAGGTCATTCTAATATCTTACGAAAATCTATCCTACTCTCTTTCTTTTCCGTCTATCATCATCGAAGAAGAAGAAGAAGAAGAAGAGTCAACCCGTAAGGCCAAAAAGTAGAAGCGAAAAAGTATGGAGAAAGTAGTAGTAGTTTCGAAGTTTAATTATTTGAAACGGAGGGAAGAAAAAAACCATGCGTTCTCCACTAATCGACGTAGTTTCCCCGTAACGATCCGATCACGGTGGTATCACGGTCGTCGGTGGTGGAGGAAAGAGGGGAGAGAAACAAACGTCCGGTTTCGAATATTTGGAGGAAAAGTGGCACGCGATGAAGAGGCGCGTTTGACCTTGGTACGTGATACGAATGGTGGTCGATAATCTAATCGGTTAAGAGGGATATTGGTCAGGACGCGAACGTGAGAAGTTTTTTTCATTGACGATTCGGCCTGGTTGTCTTAGCATATTGTCCCGTAATAGATAATTTTTCTTCTTCTTCTTCTTATTATTATTATTAGGAATCGAAGTTATATAAATTTCGAATAATTTGGTTTTCTTTTTTTGTTCTTTTTTTTTTCAGAATGCACGAAAGTCAAGCGGTTCCAACGATGCGGAGGATCACAGCGATAGTACGATAACTATGACGAATGTTTCGACAACAGCTGCGACTACGACGATGACGACAACTGCATCTTTGACGACGATGTCCTCGCTATCGAGCGAAAACGAAGAAACGACGAGCATCGGCCGAGAAAACGGCAGCGCTAATTCAAGAAACAGCGAAACGACGGAGGTTCACGTTCACGAAACTGGCAATGGCACCGGTGGTACTGGTGGTACCGGTATTGGTACCAGCACCGGTAATGGCACTGTTGCAGGGAACACCGAGCCCAAGCAAGGTTTGAACCTTCTGCAGATGAGCGCGAAAGAACTAAGGGCTCAATTGGCGGCACGGAAGAAATACGATCCTAAGAAGGAATCGATCGGATTTAAGGACAAATTCGATATCGTTCAAAAACTCTAATTGTTAAGTCGTCGAATAATGAAAATGAGAACAAACAAACAAAAAACAAGCCGCTAAGAGAAAAAGAAACGAAAGGATAAGATAGTTCTCTCTGGGTCTAACTAAAATCTATCCACGGTGCTTCTTTCACGATTTTCTTTTCCCTTTTTTTCTTTCTTTCTTATTTTTCCTTTCCCCCTGATCATTTTGCCGTTATTATTAAATATTATTAATATTTAGGAACGCGCGTTGGTCGAGTCCCTAGTCTGTTGCCCAAATTGTATCTCTACCGGTAAGAGGAGGACGCGCGTTATCGAAAAGGAACGTACACGTGCGATTACGTTCATCCGGTAGGTTGCGATAAACTCGCGACGCGTTACGTTCGTTGCCTTTGTTAATTATTGTTTTAAGCGGGAAGATCGCGTGATGGTGGTACGCGGTACCGCGATCCTATATATATATGTTAAAAGAGAGAAAGGATAAAAGTGTCGTGTTCTCGTTCATAGAGGATCCTCGCCAATGCGAATACGAAAAATCTCGCGAATCGCAATGATAGAAGGAAAAACTATTCGGTTGGTAACGCCAATCCGGATATACGTAATTACAAAGAGACAAGGATAATTACGGCGAGAATTCGTTCCTCGAAGATGTTACCGCGATTACATGCCATTTTCGCGAGGCTAAATACTTCCGGATGTACGTTCGTTAAGCACAGCCTCCTTATTAATTTCCTTTTCTTGTTAATCGTCATATTTTCTTCTTCTTCTTCTTTTCTTCGAATCGATATTAAAATCCTTTTGTCGTTTCTAAATCCGAAGAAAATTCGAGCGAGCGAGCATAACTCATATTTGTCTTTTTTACAATCATTATTTGCGTTGCTCGGTAATGCTGCTGCTGCTGCCTTTTTAGTTACTCTTTCTACGTAAGATCCAAGGACGTTTGAGAGAATGGTCAGAGAGAGAGAGAGAGAGAGAGATGCCACCGATTCCTTCGCGCGTCTCGTAAATCGAATAAAATGATTTCATCGTCTTCGTTTGACACCGATCTTATTAGAACGATAAACCTAACGTCGAGATGCTTCAATTTCCTATCCATGATACTTATTGTCCTTTACTTTCCTCCCATTGCACCGATTTGTTTTTTTCGATGGCCATGTGCTTGTGCGTGCGTGTGCGTGTGTTTTTCTTTTCCTTGCTAAGAAACTACGTCTCTCAGATTGTAGGATGGAATTTTTCATCGATAAGAATTTAACGATAACGTTAATGCATTATTATTACGGCTATCGAGATATGAGGAAGTCGTGGAAAAAAGAATGTAATAGAAACTGTAATAATATGTAGTATACTAATATAACTGGTATATATATATATATATATATATANGTATATATATATATATATATATATATATATATATCCCTGCGTGTTGCCGATAAAGTAACAAATGTGACTGTAAAAATGTTATTTGCAACAAAATGAGAGATAATAGAGCGTTCGAACTAAGTTAGAAATGCGATAGAAGCAATACTGATATTGAAAATATTAGATTTTTCACGTTAGTTTTCACATAGAGTCAACCCTGACACTGTGGAATACAAAGACGATAGCAGAAACATGTATAAAAAATGTTAGCTTTAAATCTGACTGTACGTTTCTAAATATTACGTCGACGTGTGTGTTGTGCAACATTCAATTATCGTTATCGTCGTTGGTACGCGCTCACCTGTATCTAACTCAAGTCGGAGACACAATTCCTATTCGTGTTGCGTACTAACGCGTACGTCTTTTGGTTTCCCTTTCTTTGAAACAGTCCAAAATGGCATCGTGATTTCTTAACTTTTTATATCATTTTGTTAAACAAATGTTACTTTTTTTTATCAACTTGAACGACAAGTATTAGATTTACTCTTGTCCCGATTATTGTCCTGGCCTTATACACTTATTATAATCGTAGGTATTCGTTAAGGGTTCAAATGATTGTGTATTTTTGCGTTAGCAATAGTATTTGATGACATTAAATCGTTACTCTAAATACCGTTAAGCTATATCTTCGATACTATAATATATGTTTGCGGAAAGGATCATCTTCGAGAATCAATACCACAACTACTAATACCACCATGACACTCGCGAGTGGAATTTTAATGTGCGAGGTCGTTGTTTGCATAAAAATCATTACTAGTATCAAGAGAGATCATTGTATGCGACGTAATGGTTCATCCTTCAGTTAATACTCTATACACATTGTATATCTTTCTAATTTTGAATCCTTTTTAAAGGATATTTTATTAGTTATTATCCAAAATTTCTATACAGATCGTTTTGTTTCATTTTTGTAAGAGTATGTATAAAGTTGAATAAGTTAAACAACACAGGTTCCTAAAATGATTGTACTTAGGCCAGAAATATTCAAATTATCTAGATGTTCAAGTTGCCTACCTTATCGACGATCATAAGGCTAACGAGACAAACCGCCAGAATTTTTTTCGGAGATGTAGACTTATAATGAAAGTTATTTCTTTTTTTTTTGTGATTTTCTATCACGGTTAATTGTTATTTCATGCCTTTAATCACATCTTTAACGACATTTGTTCGCACGTTATAATCAAGTATATTTGCAATACGTTTGATCGTTGTAAAATGTAAATATTAGAAGTTGTGTGCCAGTTTCGGTGCAACGATCGCGATGAAAAGGGTGGGATATCAAATCCCAATCATTTATAATTTCAACGTTTCTTCAATCTCACCTCCTTTTTAGTTTCTCTGTTATTAATGACGGTCAATAGTTACTACTTACATTTTTGTAAGAGAATTCTAACGAAATCGGATAAATCCGATAGAAACGATGTACATTTAGTTTTGACAAAATTTATTACCTTTTTTTCGATCGATTGTTTGCACCGAATATATATATATATATATAAAAATAAAAAAAAAAGTGTATATAATTATAAGCACATATATACATACGCACGTTTTTCTTTTCCATTTTTTGTTTTCCATCAAAAATGGAACGTGCACGTTGTTACGGTTATAATACGAGCACACATAAAAATGTTAATTACTTTACGTTAGTTTAAGTTTACCAATTTTTTTTTTCTTCGACAATAAGATTTACAATTAATTACTGTGTTACTCATTGTAGTGCGTGTTCGCGCGTACCTGTTTATTTACATAAAAACGTCGTTGTACGTGTTAATAATTTTTTTTACATTATTTTATCCACCCCTTATCTGTTCTTATCCAATTTACTAAGGGGATGTACTTCTGGTGCTCCTAAATTAATGCAAAGTAAATACATTGTAGAAATTCCCTATGAATTATTATGCGAATAGAATTCAGCTGCAGTGATCAAATATAACCAGACAATAATATGTTTAGAAGTAAAAATAATAATTTATTTACGTTGCATTAATTTTTAATCATTTAACAAAAATATATTGGGAAATCTGTATTTTATTACCGACTGTACAATATGTGCCGCTATCTAGTGGTAATAACTATTACTTTATCTTACCGACTAGTAAAATATGTGCTACCATCTAGCGGTACTAGCTATTACTTAGTATTATTACATAGTAGCAATATATAGTAGTATTACTTTACTAAGTAATACTTATATTAGTATTCTCGTAACTTCGAACTACTCTGTAACATTTAAGTATAAACGCTAGTATATTAATTTCAAGTATATTACTCGTATAAATTATTTAGATTCGTTACAAATGATGGTCCATATTTTTTTTCTTTTTCACCAATGTAATCCCATTACGTAATTATTTCTATTTTGATATCACTTAGTAAATACACTTAATAAATTACTAAGAAATATGTAAATAACAAAAACTCAATCCCAAAAAAATAAAAAACATTTATGTAAATTCGACGAGAGTCGGAATCGCTTAAAAACAAAGAGAGTTCAATGCAACGACAAGACAATGAGCAACTGCTTTATGAAATTAATAAATCGTTTTTGTTATTGGCGGAAGTGATCGATAAAATATTATTGTTCGTTCTATTATAAAGTAACGAAAAAGAGAAAAAAGATGTTTACAGGTGAGAGAGAAAGAAAGAAAGAGAGTCGACGATAAGCTAATGTAAGCAGTGGGAGCGAGAGAGAGAGAACGATAGGCGGACATATATGGTCGCGGGGTCTGAGAAGCTCTCAGGTTACGCTGTCGGCGCTAACAGTTTTCATGATCTTTTCTCTCTCTCTTTCTCTCTCTCTATCTCAATCTCTTTCTATTTCCTTCGAACGCATTCAAATGTATATATGTATATATATATTTTTCTTTCTCTCCATCGTACTCCGTTTCGTTCTCTCACTCATTGGCGGGTGTATTTCTTTCTCTCTCAGTTATCCGTCGTTTCACTCGAGCAACGACCAAAAATATCGACGGCCAAGCAAGCAGTAGTGAATCGGACGAAGATAGATAGATAGATAGAGAGAAAGAGAGAGAAAGAGAGATATCGCGGGCGTGCAAGTGGAAGGGTAAGGAAGAGAGAATACGCGGTTGGAAGGGCAATCTCGTTGCACGACGCGCCTGTGCGAGAGTAAGAGAGACATAGAGAAAAAAAGAGTTGTGTGATACATAGAAAAGCAGGCGGGGTTTTCGTTATTTCGAGATTATTGGGGATTGCCTGCCTGCTTGGTTGGTTGGTTGGTTGGTTGCTTTGCCTGTTTTCTGGAATCGTGCCGATCGCGTCTCTCTCGTAACATCCGATATCATCGAGCGAACGTTTGCCCCGATATCACGAGATTTAATCCGACACCACATTATACGATCATCATCTGTCCCATCTTGACGTTTTCTGCATCTATCGCATGATTTTTTCTTATTTTTTTCAAAAGATTTCTTCAAATGTAATAATGTTATTATTATATATCTTTTTCATGTATCTAGGTCAGAGAGATAAGAGAAGTTCTATATGACGCATATTACCTCGCAACAAGATTTATAACGTATATTTATATCGTCGAATCAAATTTGTTGATATGTATCGTACATGATAGTAAGGTAAATTGGTTAGATATAAATGAA